CATTTCAGAACAAGGAAACTGAAGCACAGGGATCCAGTCAGGGAGTCAAGCCTGCAGCACTGTGGATTTTCAGCCTACTTCCTTCTTGCCCCACAGAAGTGACTTCAGTCTAAGGTCACAGTTAGTCACCTTGACCCCTAAGCACACCTCAGCACATAACCTTAGGCAGAAGGGGATGCTGTCGTTGGGTGAATTACGTTGGGTTTCTGCATGCTCTTGGGAGTCCCTGCCCTGTAGGGGAGAGGACAGAGCTTGGTGAACTCTGAACTGATTTAAAACGTGACAGCCCCATGTGTTGTCCCGGCAGTCTCACAGGCAGGATATGGGACATGCGTGCGCCTCATGAAGCCATATGCTATTATCAGCTGCTGTCTCTTTGGTGGGGTGATTTTAGACACATCCTGAACAAGTCAGGGTCACCTTTCCTAGGCCCAGGAAGGGGTGGAGCCCCAACAAAGAGCTCTGGTCCCACTTAGGGGGAGGGAAGACTGGAAGCATACTGTATGATGTCAGGACTTCAGATTTTCTTTTGTTAAACAGCTGAACTTGCACTTAGAAAATAACTAAGCAACTAAAGAATTGTTTTAGTGGCTGCATAGTGGCATAATCTGTACTCTTGACACCCAGATGCTGAGATAGGGAATGTTGTAAGCTCGAGACTAGCCTAAATTTAACAAAGACACCCTGTCTCAAGCAAACAAACTGTAGTTCCCAAAGTCTTTGACCATGCCGCAGATGATTAAGTATCGTGTGAACGACTCTCTGTCCCTTCCTGGTTGTTAGGCAGGAAGGGGATGGAAAGTTATAAATGGGAAATTTTGATCTTCCAGCAATGTATTGTGGATGGGAGCCCAGAATGCTCACCACGTGGATGAGTGGAAAGTGGGTAATGGGGTCACGGCGTGTGCCTGAGAATATGATAGGCATCTCATATGCCCAGGGCAGGGCTCACGGAGGAGTAAATTCTATACAGCCTTTCATTTCTGTCAGGATGATCCATACATTCACTTTCCAGTCTTGTAGCAATGGAGCAGAATGTAACTCTTACCACACCATGCTGTGGATTAAGTTCAAGATGCAAAATTGGTTTTAGACTCATGCCATCAAGTTGGTAAGCAAGTCACATGGGAGTGTTATGAGGTTTACAAGTGAGCACCTTAATGCTTTAGATAGCATAGATTTATTTTTACAGCTTCAAGTTCGATCTATTCAACTTAAGAGGCCCATTGAAGGGCTATATTAGTTTTCCATCTCGGTGGTAACAAATGACCACAAACACTGTTTAGCACACGACCATCTAACTGATGTGAACTGACTGATAGGCATCATTCAGAAGCCTGACACTGGTGGTACTATGCTAAGTCCAGGTTTTGACAGGACTGTTCTGGTCTGCAAGTTCTAGGGGCAACTGAGAAAAATGCTTTCTTTTTCAAGTCTAGGCACCTCATCTCCTCAAAGCCAGCAGCAGCACCATTGCCTCCGACTCTTCTGTCATCTCAGCCACTGGTAAGGACTTTTGTGATCACATTGGTCCAATCTAGATAAGAGGGACAATCTCCTTATGCTTAGTGTAACATGGTTACAATTGTTCTCTTTGTTATTAGTTGCTGTCAAGCTCTTTCTCTGCCTAAATTATAAATTAAACTTTGTTTCAGATGTGTCTGTATAGAAAAGACATTGGATCTAGAGGTTGGCACTAGCCTTTGGTATCAACTGAGGTCTATGTCCTCTGTGAATGAGAAAGGATTATTATACTATGTTTAGGGTCAGCTTGCTTCCTTCATAGGAATCACTAAAATTACTATACTTGTATAGAATATTTTAAGCAGTTTATATGAAATTGCCCCAGTACTGATCAAAGAGGAAATGAAAGTTTACTTAGATTTGCACATATTTTCCAAAATGTCTTAACAGAGTAATAATTTGTAAGTCAGATTTAACATTTAGAGGTGGAATTTGAGGCTTGAAAATTTTTGCATCTGACAATCATGGAGCCTGTATGGGCCAGAAGTAGGTTCTCTGCATATATATTATGGCTATGTGGCTTGGTGTTCTTATGGGATCCCTAACAGTGGGAATGGGGTGCCGCTGACTTGTTTGCCTTCTCTTGTGACCCTTTTCCTCCTCCTGGGTTGCCTCTTTCAGATTTGATATAAGGGTTTGTGCCTGTTTTCATTGTAACTTGCTATGCCTTGTTTGGTTGATGTCCCTGGGAGGACTGCTCCTTTCTTTCTTTTTTTTTATTTATTAAAAATTTCCACCTCCTCCCCACCTCCCATTTCTCACCCCCTCCCCCTCCCCCTCCCTCTCCAGTCCTAAGAGCAAAAACTGCTCTTTTCTGAAGGAAAATGGAGGAAGAGTGAATCTGGGGGAGAGGGGAGGTAAGGGGTGCTTGGAGGAGTGGGAAAAAGAGAAATTGTGATCAGGATGTATAAGAGAATGAGAAAATTCAAGACAGGAAGATTCCCCACTAAAATTATTTTTCATCTTTAATATATGAGATGTTAATGTTAAATGCAGTCCGGCTTCTCTTCTCCTTGGGCACAGAAGTTCTCACTGCTGAGCCTCGTTCAGGATGCTGCTCCATACTCCAGCTGTAGTGAGGAGGGCTGCTGGTGACTCAGAACCTTCCAGAGAATTGCTCTGAGCCCACATGGCCCTTAGTCCTGAGGACCCTTTAGAGGAAGGACAGCCCACTGTAAGGTCACAATATGTAGAACAGGCACTGTGAGGGCTTCCCATCCCCACAGTATCAGATGCAGCTGACGTCGGGAAGCTTCTTGGTGACCTTGGCTTCTGTAGTTCCTGTTTCTAAAGCTCCTCTTTGGTTTGCCCCTTCTGGCAGAGAAGTACTGTCTCAGCCTTGGGAAGTCTGTAGCGATCAGATGATGAGTTAGTTTCCCTAGGCGACCCACTCTTGCTGTTCAGAATGGTGCCTCCTGGGTGTCACTTCTTTAATGCATTCCGGTCACACCTGTTACTTGTCATAGTTCTGCTAATAGTCATAGAGAAACAGCCTTCAGTGTTTCCTTTGCCTTTCCTCAGGATTAGGTTTCTCATATACAAATAGCTATAATTATGGACATTTCTCTGCTAATGACCCATAGCTTTATTTATTTGGTGATGGAGATTAGTCCAGTGCCTCATGTATGTGCTCTACCATCCTACCACCGAGCTACACTACCAGCATATTGATTTAGATGCATAATATTGCCATTTTAACTATCTATCTCTCTCTCTTTCTCTTCTTCTTCTTCTTCTTCATCTTCTTCTTCTTTTTCTTTATTTATTTTTATTTTTTTGAGAAAGGATTTCTTTGTGTAACAGTCCTGGCTGTTCTAGAACTTGCTCTGTAGAACAGGCTAGTTTCGAACTCACTTGCCTCTGCTCCCAAGTGCTGGGATTAAAGGTGTGCGCCATCACTGCTCGGCTCTGTTTCTTGACTTTCAAAGTCTTAGCAGACTCTATATAATGTACTGGTACTTATAGGGGAATGTTGGGACCTTTAGTAATATCTCTCTCTCTCTCTCTCTCTCTCTCTGATCTGTCTATCTATCTATCTATCTATCTATCTATCTATCTATCTATCTATCT